GCCACTCCCCCTGCTGTGTTCCCTCTCTCACTGTGTCTCTCTCTGTCAAATAAATAAAATCTTAAAAAAAAAAAAAAATTCCTAATAAATCAATCATTTATAAAATTAACTTCCCAGGTCTTTCAAGCATTCGAAGTTTTAAATTTGACTTCTGATAACTAGTCTTTGCAATGAACTCCTGAATTTACTGGCACTTTCACTAAAATTAAGAGTAGAACCATTAACACAGTATCTAAGGAGCTGCAGGAATAGAACAATCTACACAAACTGTCAGTTTACATACCGATCTCTAACCGGAGAATCCAAAGCAAGTATGCTTTTAACAAATACGCATTTTGAGTCAACGATTCAGAAATGGAAAATTTAACAAAGACAGCATAAAGTATTACTAATTTCAGGCAGTGAGACTATGGAATCAAGATGGTTTGTCAGAATGAAGTTCTTCCTGGTTCTTTTATAACCTGGTAAGGCTGAAGGCCCTGCTCGCACTCCACGCGCCTGCTGTGAAGAGCATGTCCTCTGATCACTAACAGGAAGAAACAGCTCCTGAATCTACACATTTCCCAAACAAAGAAATGACTATTTCAATATTTATTATTTTAATACAGATTAAGGACACTAGGCATATTTCATATTACCCATTTTACACAAGGTATTTCCTGAACATCTGTACACAGCCAAAGAAAACCAGCTTCAATGGAGAAGTCTGTTTCCACTACGGAATCACTGATGGCTCTTCTAAGCACCGGAAGGCATGAGCATGTACATTGTCACCCAGTCAGTGACTGTTCACGTGACTGGGCAGAGTGCGGATGTGCAGTCATCAGTATTTGCAAAATGCTTTATTTTCAAGTGGTTTTTATCTTCAATTTCCAAGGACTATTTCCAGCCCTAGAGGAAGGCACATTTGCTAAAAATACAGCTTTAAATCATGTCTCTTCTATTCTAGTCACTTCTGAATTTCCTCACCTCTTGGTCTTCGTTCCAGGACCCAGCCCCCCACCTCCGGGCCCCAGCTCAGCCCTGCACCAGCCCAGAGCGCTGGGAGGCATTTCTCCTCGCTAGTACAAGCTTCTCTTTAAAAACTTTGAGGCCTGGGGCGCCTGGGTGGCTCAGTCAGTTAAACGTCTGCCTTCAGTTCAGGTCATGATCCAGGGGTCCTGGGATGGAGCCCCGCATGGGGCTCCCTGCTCAGCGGGGAGTCTGCTTCTCCTTCTCCTCCCTGCTCATGCTCTCTCTCGCTATCTGTCACTATCTCTCTCAAATAAAATCTTAAAAAGAAAAAATTAAAACACTGAGGCCTAGGGGAGAACCATCATTACAATTTAGTTTTTCTAACTCTCCTCAGTCATCCCTCATTCCTTCAATCAACAAATATTCAAAGCCCAACCCTGTCCAAGCTACTGCGTTAGGCGGTGGGGATACAGCAGTGAGAGAAGAAACAAAAACCCTGCCTCCGTGGAGCTTCCAGTCTCACGGTGAGAAACAGGTGTCAGATGCAGCTTCTAAGCAGCAGTAGCAGGGGAAGGGGGCCTGGATGCGAGGACGGAAGCTGCCATTCACACGGGAAAAAAGGATTTGAAAGCACTGACCTCAAACTCACTCTTCCACATTACAGCAACCAGTGAAAGTGCAGTTAAACAGCATCTACAAAAGTTAAAGGCTGGTAGTATGTACAGGCTGTCAAAAGGACACTTTTGCTCTTAACTTTTGTAGATGATTTTAGAAGGGAGGTAAAAAGGAGAAAAGATATATGGTAAACTTGAAAGGATGCTTTAGAATAGGCAAGTACTTTCTGGAAGCATACAATGTTGCCAATTATTTCATATAACTTGATAAGGCATCTGTCCCACTTTAGAAAAATTCTGTATTCAAAAGTTGACTAACTAGGGGGATCATTAACTACCATGATTCTGAAGAGTAACTTAATTATAGGGGGCGGTATTTTTTTAAAGCACTTAAGCTTTCAGAAAAATTGTACGATTGCAAAAAAAAAAAAAGAAAGAAAGAAATCTGTCAAGACGAAAAACCAACTGAAGCTTAGGGAAACCCGACAGGAGAGACCGCCTGGTGCCAGGCCCGAGGCTCGAGGTCAGCCATGTGCTCTCCTGTCGAAGTCTCCCGGCAGCACACGGGACAGGCTGCCGGCAGCACCCCCACCCTAATGCATCAGGGAACTGGCCTTGCCACGTAGCAGCACCGGACCCCGCCGTACTGACGCCCTACCGCGAGATATTTCAGCCTCAGCTCTATCTCCCTGCAACCTAGCCTCCAGCACTAGAACTCCATCGCGGGAAGGGTAAGGCAAGAAAAAGAAACGAAGCATGTTGCTCTCTGAACTGTAGGACACCGGTTCATGCTACTTGCCCTTAAACTTTGATGAATTTATTCTCCTCAGACAGAGAAGTCAGCTATAAATAGAAGAGATTTTAAAAGTGCAGGGCTGGCGGTGGTGCGGGACAGCCCTTCCTAGTTTCTTCAACAGGCAGCCTGTTAGCCAGGCGCTAGTTTCTCCGGGGAGCTAACGGCCCTCTTCTCTGGAGGACAGTGCTCATGCATCCAGTCCTTCCACCACTCTCTCCTTCCTCACCATGCTGTCGACTGCCGACAGGTCATATGCGTAGGACCTTTGGCAACTGGAAATTAACGACCCCCCCATCTCTGCATGCAGTTAGGTCACCATCTTGAAGTGGCAGAAGGAGCTCTCCAGCCTTAACCAGGAGGGCCCAGTTTAAAATAAGCTGCAGGATGGGCACCTGGGTGGCTCAGTTGGTTAAAATAAGCTGCAGGAAAATATTCAAGTTGTCCCTGGGTATTAGTTATCCCTGTTAGCGGACTAACACTGTGATAACACATCACACTATGTCCTCCTTAGAGCCAGCACCTACCATGCTGCTCAAAGCTCTGCAAGCTGGCGACAAAGAGTGTCTTTTAGCTTTCAGAATGGAGACCCACATGATCTGAAAGAATATATTTATGGTGACAAGCACACAACTTAGAAACTAGCACGGTCCTGAAAATTTCTGATGTCATAGGTTCAATAACTACATCACATCTTCATCCAAAAGTTAGTAATGGAGTGGGAATGTTTCCTGCTTCTGGACTTTCTATCTCCTTATTAGCAATACATTTTAAAATATATTTGCTTATTGAGAAATAGTAAGGTACTGGTTAACCATTTAAACCCATTTCCTTCTTTTAATATTTAGCTCTACCCATACATGCTTCAATAAAATAGAATTAGTGTAAAAGAAACAGGCAAGAGTTTGACCAAATTGATCTAAGATACCTTTTACCTCTGCAAGTCTGTGTAAGACGTTCCCATTATCCCTTATTCTCAATACTCTGGAGAGTCTATCACTGGGGGGAGGGAAGGGGGAAGCCGGAACTCGAAGAAGGAACCAATCGACATGGATTTAAGGAAGTCCACAGAGGGAGCTGAAGAGCTGTTAGGTCTCAGAACACAACAAGGCTAACAAGCCTCCTCTCATCGTGCAGACGCACCCTTTCACAGGAAGTACCCTTGCAAACAGCCACCATTAATATATACCTTGGCAAGGAACTAGGAATAAGGTTCCGTTTTTTTTTTTTTTTCATGTGGAAAAACCCTTCATCTCCTTGTATTGGTCACATAAGAAAAGTTCGGTTTAGAATAACATGACATTTTCTACAGATAATGTTCATGGAGAGTTCTAAGTCAACCTCTACATATGTGGTTACATCTTCCTGGTGTCCGTTTTGATATTAGGTTTCTGGATTCTATATACTACGTAAAAATCATTTTAACAACAAAATCTATACTTTTACCTTCAGTAGAAATTCCTGTAGTTCTTGGTGGGTTTTTGTTACTGTTGTGACTGAAAGATCGGACCAGTTTACCTGATTTAAAAAAAACACACATATTGTATGGTTATTTCTTAGGCGGGAACCGGCTGAAAAAAAGCCATGTGTAAAACAAAGGGCCTTACTTAAATTTTATTAAGATTAACAATTAGAAATATAAAGTTAACCTGGCATTGTCGTAATTTCTTCAAAATCGTTAAAGTTAACGGTACATTGACATAGTCTACTCAAAAAACTTTTTAATAATTCCTTTCAAATTGCACGGTTTTGTTAAAAAGTTGTCTTTTAAAATAAGACTACATTTTTGTAATTTTTCAGAAAGGAAAAGTTGTAGGACTCTAAAATGACACTTTTGACGGTATAGATCTATATACCAAGAAAGATAAAAATTCTATCTCCTGGAACTTATTAAATATAAATTCTTCAGAGAAATAACTAGAGTTTACTGCCCCTCTTTGATAGTACTACATTGTATTTTTATGGGATTTATGGCTTATGAAGAGATTTCATCTTTACCTCAATTCTTTAAAATTCTATTATGGTAGATGGGGCAGGTATGATGACCTCCATTTTCAGATGGAGAAACTAAAACTCTAAGAGTAACTTACTTAGATCTGACCCTAAGTAAGCAGAAGAGCCAGACTGAAATCTGTTATGCCACTTTACCTCTTGGACGCTTTTAATTCAGTGGACTTGATGGCGGCCAGCTAATAATCTCTACTTTACAATTATTTGAGCCAAGTAAAACTTGCACTAGGCAAATACCTAAGTCTTATCAGCTAGTCATACTGTTATTAATCAGATAGTTCAAAATAGGTATGAAATTGTATCTACCAATCCTCAAAGCAAATATCCTTATTAACTGGCACATCTTTTAAATGATTCTTAATTATTCGAATGTTCACTGAGCAGCTAACTTGGGTCAGACACTGTTCTCAGTGAAAGGGACACAGGAGTGGACAAGACAGCCAAAGTCTCTGCTGGCTGAGGTTCAGGGTCTGGTGCATGAGAGAGATGACCACAAATGAATAGTTAAGAATTCCCCTCAGGGATCCGGGCTCCAGAGAAAATGAACAGGGTGTGGTGCAGGAGCAGGATAGCACATCAGAAGGGTGCCGAGAAAGACCTCACAGGAGGGAGCATCTGAGCCAGCCTAGGAGTTGAAGGGATGTGAGCTGTGCCATGGCCTGGGGAAGACTGTTCCAGAGCTGGGGATGACAAAGGCTTGGAGGAAGGAACAAGCTAAGAGCTCCAGCAACAAAAGGAGAACCCGTGTAACTGCATGAAGAGAGCACAGTGGCTTGTGCCATGGGTTATCAAAATGTTCAGTGAAATATGTGGAGATAAGGACTTAAAATTTGCAAACTGAGGCTACTTCCCCCACAGAGCAGAAGCCAGAGTTCTGAAATTCATTCAACAAATGTACTAAGCAAGTTGGATATGGTGGGATGACAGAGGATGAAGAGTCCTGCTCTCCATGAGCTAATAACCTACTGGAGAGGAAAAACATGTCACCTAAATAGAAGACTCTGTGAAACTGGTGATGGGAGGATACTATGAATGAATGGAAACACATTCTGCTGGAGGATCAGTAATGACTTCATGAGAAAGGCAGAGCTGAAGTTTGGCAAGCAATACCTTTGGGGAAGAACTGAAGTGAGGGAGCACAGAAACGTGGCGTCGGTCCGTTTGGCTTCAAGGCGCTCAGTCCAACCTTAGGAGAAAGGGCTAGACAGTGAAGCCCAAGCAGGGAGGAGTAAGGAAGACATGGACAAGGAATCCGCATGACAGTCAACAGGCAAAAAGGAGACATGGGGAATGACAAAGCTGGACTCTACGGTTAGTTAGCTGTCTGAGGACAGAGTGACAGGAAAGCAATCAGAGAGAGGAAGACAAAGGAACAAAGGCCAATAGCCTTCGTGGACAAAGAAGAGGAGGAGAAAGATATCAGGGAAACCATGCCAGGAAAAGACAATGCCCGTGATCTTGATTTAAAAAAATACTAGTGAAAATGTTTACTTTTACTTTAAAAGATACATCTTACACCTCAAATCGAAGGCTCTTACTTTTTTTTTTTATAAAATCATCAGAGTAACTTTAATGTGATACAGTTAAAACCTTGGCAAACCATGCAGCACATACTGAAAACAGGACAGTCCCTTAATTAGGACAAACGTATGTCTACGTACAGCTTTTTCTTAAATTAGCAAACCTGCTGTAAGTTTTTTCCAAAGATCAATTTTCATTTTTCCCAAAAAGTCATTTACCACGGTACATGAGACATCTGTTGGGGGCAGAGGGGCTTACTTTGAAGGTGTACTCCCAGTATTTGTCAGCCCTTTTTCTCTGGACTCCTTTCAACATTATCTTCTCAATGTGCACGGCTGAAAGAAAGAAAACACGTAGACTTGTTCTACAGAGACTAAATGCAGGTTTCAGTGACCCAATCTGACAAATACGAAACGATTAAGCTATTTAGCTTCATCTTTACTACTGGTCTTAAATCATGAAATAAAACCAAAAAGTGTAGAAGCACAGCAATGTGCCGTTCATCCGTGAATTTTTTTCTGTATCCATTCAGCATGCCGAGTACTCAGTAGTTCCAAACATCCTGTTAGGCACCAATAAATAAATAAAATACACCTACAGTAAAGATTATTTTTCTAGAGGATCATCTTCAAAACTGCTGTTATTCCAATTACCACATACAGCACTTTATTCAAGTTTTTATGCATAGTAGGTATAAACCAGAAAATATCTAAGTTTTTGTTTAAACTGAAAAAAAAAAACTTTCAAAAGTATATAAAACTGATAAAAATTTCTTTCCAATTGGGAATTTATAAATTGTTGTTCTCAACACGACCCTTAATATCATATAATGGTATTACAAACTTAACGTTATGAATGAACTTCACTATGAAGGTTCACTATGACAAAAATTTTCACAAATCTATTACACAGATAAAACAGTGGTCATAAGTTACATGAGTAATTCTGAACTGACCCAGGTAAGATGTCAGCTTGTTAATGAAGTAAACAAATGTACAAACTCCTGAACTACTCATTTAACACATCCTTCAATAAAAATATCATCTTTCAGGAAGTAAATATCTTTACAAATTGAGAAGAGCCAGTCTACTAACCATAATATAGGGACTTGAGGGGGAAAAAAAAAAAGGCAAGAGAAACTGTTGCTCAAACAGAAGAAACAGCGTGTAAGCAATAATGAGACTGGTAGTCATGAACATGACAAAGGTCACAGGGGAGTCAGGAGAGGGACTCCACAGGCTCGGGTCACTGTTAAATTCAGGGGATGGGAGATGGTGAAGAAAAGGAAAGGATTTACTTGGAGGGAAAGAAGTTAAAATAGATGAAGGAGAATACACAAAGTAATAGAAGTAGACAGGAGAATTAAGATTGTTCTAGATCACGGATGGTGAGCAATGCGAAAGCAGGAAACGTAAGATACAGAAATTTGCTGGAAAGCAAACATTCCTAACAGACTAAGGAGATACTGCTACCAGTATTTTGTGCCAACTTTCCAAATATATGGTGTCTGGTGGCCCGCTTCTAGGATCATGTCCCCTCAATGGGTGAGAAATGCTGAGGACGGAAACAAAAGAAAATCGCCAAAGCCAGGCTGGAAGCCTGAACTCCTCAAAACTGCTGCAGTACAACCAAGGCCAAAGCGGGGCAGGGAGGGTCTGCCGTCTTCAAAACCTTTTCTATTAAATTATGATAAAGGATGATGCTATTTAATCAAAACCATCTGACCTAATCTATGTTCAGAAAATACAAAGCAGCTCTACTTCTGTGAATCAGTGGGCTAAGGGCAGGGGACCACTAGGGCATTCTGCAGTAAGGGAATGTGGCTGTGTCTTCAGCCTTGATTTTACGTTCTACCTGACATGATCTCTCAGAATCAAGATGAGCAAGACAAAAGAATACGGTGAGGGATGGCCGGGGTAAGGGAGACGCTGCAGCCCTCACAAATTAAAACTAAGCAGCAGAGATCACATGCATTTGTTTAATAATAAAGAACATGGGAAAAATCATCTATAGTACCATCTTGCGGGTGTTAGCACTTTGATGTAGTTTTTTGTTTTTCTAAAATAATTTTTTTATTAAAAAGGGAAAAAAAAGGACCTTCATTGTAAAAGCAAACTCTGCTTCAGGTCACTCGCATGTGTAGTGAGTGTGGTTGAAGGAGGCTATGACTCAAGTAGTTTCATTGAATAGGATGGAATAGGTAATTATGTAGACTTTATTTGAAACATTAAACATGCATACCTATTTTTCCTCTGTGAGGAAAAATGTATTACACAAAAAGGACTATTGTTGGGACTGAAAGGAGGCAAAATGATGTTGATTCAAAGCTGCCATAATGGAGTGTGATGCTTACTGCCCACACTTTCCCCGGGTGGCATCTACATTTTCCATTTCAATTTTCCCCTCAGGTTAATGGAATCCCCTAATATGAAGAGAAGTGAATATCTGAACTCCTTTCTTTTCAGATGAAAATGTCCTTTCAATTCCCGCATCCCAGCCCTCTTGAAATCTGTATTACTGCAGGAAGCATGGGCTTGTAAGAAATTTCTTCACTTTCTTACAGTGAACTTCCGTAAAATTTCTTTTTTCAGGAAATGCTGAGCACATTCTCCAGATAAAGCACTCTACACCAAATACTTCGGGAAAATGTTAAGGTTTTTGCCCTCTGACAGTATCCAACTAGATTTAAGACAACCAACCGCAAGGCAGAACCAAGTAAGCACAAGCCAGGACGGGCCAAGTGTTGCAAAGCAGGAGCCCAGATGAAGACTCCAAAAAGTGGGGGACTGGTGCCTGAGCCAAACCTAGGACCTGTAGGATTTCTCTACTCCAAAAAAGAGAAGAATTAGAGTTAACCAAGGTAAATAGCACTCTGCAACCTTCTCCTGTAAGTTTACAAAAAACAAACATACCTTCTCGCTGGGTTCTATGAGGTGCCACAGGAAGTCCATCATGAGGTATTGGGGCTTGTTCTAGTAAACTGGCCTCATTACTTTGCATGTAATCACCATGAGCAGAATCATTCTAGATGAGAAAGAGGGGCACATGTTAATCTACTCCACAGACCAAGAAGAGTCAACTCCACAGAAATAAACCAGATTAAAATCTTACACTTTTAACAGCGACCACTTTAACAGCAATTTTTAGAGATCAAATAGGTGATTACACGTTAAGGGCAGAAAGGCACAAACTGGCATTCACCACTAAGAAAAAGGAATCAATATTTATTGATATCAATATTTATCTTCACTTCACAGTAATATTCTATCAATTATTTACTGTCCCAGTGTTCTTGGGACATGCAGCACATTATTACTCAGAATTCCCAGTGATGTCAATTTGAACCAAAGTGAACCAGAATCAAAGGAACACAGATAAAAGAGGATAGCTAACCCCCCACATATATGGGAATTTTATTTTTTACATTAATTACTGTAATTTTTATTCACTACTTGATTGTAGTGATGGTCTAACAAGATGCTTTGGTAGGAAAAAGTTTTACAAAAGGTTATCATCAATATCTGCCAAATCTTTCTGAACAAGAATGAGTATGGACAGCGGGTTTACCATTAGTCATGTTAAACCACCTAATAGCAACTGGGTGCTCTAAATCTGAGTTTGCTCAGCCAATCACTATCCTCAGTAAAGTGGAAGAAGTTTTACTCCTAGGAGAACTGCTGCCTGGAGTCAGGAAGGGCCTGCTTATCTCACACACAGCTCTCTAGAACTGAAGCAGTGCCGTGTATATACGGTTCCAACAACACGCTGATTAAGCCAAAAAAATAAAACAGCCTTAGAACTGCTGTTTATCACAACACACACCTTACTCCTTCATGTTCAGAATCTCAAAATACTACTCAGAACAAACCACCCCAGTTTCAACAATTACAATTTGACAAATGTGCAATAAATAATATACATTAATTTTTTTAAATTGTGTCAATTTAGAAATGAAACAAACAGAAAACCCAACACTTTCCAAGAATCCTAATTTAAAATATTTTGTTCTACTGTCCAATCATGCATGCTGGCCTGACAATAGGTTTGGGCTGCGCGTTGACAGCTCCATTTCTGGGAATAAAGCATCACATCAGAGACTCCTGGGAGCTAAGCTTCAGCCTTATATATAGCTTGTCTTCCTGTAGAAACCCAAGGAAATAAGCATCTGTCTACACAGAACCACTTAATGAGAAGGACAGCACAGATCTCTTCAACAACATCCAACTTCCAAAACATTTAGCATGATGGCATTCACCAACTTTCAATATTAATGATTTAAAAAAGGTAGACTATGAGAATTCTTCTAGCAACAACAAATTTACCTGTATCCTAATCCAGACCTTATAATCATTTACCACAAAGTCATAAAACAGCATTGGCCTAACATTGCTATAAGTATTTCAAAAATCAATATAAATAAAGCACTGTAATCCTCTCAAATACTTGTGTTAACTGGAAGAAGTTTAGCTGAATATGTCAACCATTTTTATAGAGTATTTTTCTACACTGCTCATTCATGATTCATAAATTAAAAATAACACCTTTGAATACAAATGCAAAATATGCAAAAAAAACCACAAATAGTTTTCATCAGGGAAATGCCCATCAAAATCACAATGAGATACAGCCTCGCACCCATTAAGATGGCTATTCTCCAAAAACACAGAGCACAGCTATTGGTGAGGATGTGGAGAAACCGGAACCCTTGTGCATTACCTGGTAGGAAGGAAAATAGTGCAGCCACTGCGGAAGACAGCGAACCAGTTCCTCAAATACTTAAACAGAGTTACCACGTGGTCCCGCAATTCCACTCGTAGGTGGAGAAGCTAGGGACTTGAGCAAAAGGAGGGACTTGAACAAATAATTTTTTCACAGCAGCGTCACTCCCAAAAGCCAAAAGGTGGAAGCTCAAATGTCCACTGTTGGGTGAACAGATAAACAAGATGTGGCATATATACACAGCTGAGTATTATTCAGCCTACAAAAGGAATAAAACTTGAATACATATTACAACATGGATGAGTCCTGAGGACATCGTGCTAAGTGAAATACCTGGCACAAAAGAACAAAGAATGTACAAGTCCACTTACATGAGGTACCTAGAACGGTCTCCGTCATAGAGACAGAAAGTGGAAGAGTGGTTACCGGTGCCGGGGGTGGGGGGATAGGAGTATCTGCTTAATGGATAGAGAGGTTCAGTTTGGGATAAAAGAAAAGTTCTGGAAATGGATGGTGGTGATGGTTGCACAAGAATGTGAATGCTAGGGGTGCCTGGGTGGCTCAGTTGGTTAAGCGTCTGCCTTCGGCTCAGGTCATGATCCCAAGGTCCTGGGATCGAGCCCCGCATCGAGCCCCGCATCGGGCTCCCCGCTCAGCGGGAAGCCTGCTTCTTCCTCTCCCACTCCCCCTACTTGTGTTCCCTCTCTCCTGTCTCTCTGTCAGAT